ATGTGAAGGAGGGCCCAGATTGGCCAGAAACTGTATTCCTCCCGCCCTGAATGCTGTCTGGGTACCTGCACACAACAAGTGAATGTATCCGACCATAGGCCTGGGCGCGGTACCTTTGACTCTACAGTTGACTTTGACTGTTGAATTTCCTTTGTGCTGCGTTCCGTCACACAGCCTCCTCGCCAGACTCAGACTGGGCATGTCTCGGTCACATAGCCCAGCACAGACAACTGAGTCCGTGCTTTACCAGGGGCAACGTTCTGAGCCCCGGTCTGCTGTTGAACAGGGTTACTGCACTTGGTGCGCTGACGATGCTTCTGTGCAGTGAGGAGGATACTTTGACACTGGCTTGTTGATGTGGCACCCGGGTAGAGGGGTGCGCCGCAGGAACGCTGTGGCGACAGCGTGGGAGCTGTGGCGACAACGGGTGTATGTATGATGATGAGAGCATGCTGATGTGGCAGTTGGCTGAGGTGGCACTGCATTTCGTTGTGGGTGGTACCGAGGCTATGACCGGTCATGAAAATGCACATTCGGCTCAATTGGTGAGAAATCTATGGCTGGGGGCAGCTATCTCCAGGTACGTTGTTCCCTTACCTTATCTACTGATACATGCCCACTTGGGCAATGTATGTAGAGCAAAGGATCCGCAATGCGATGAAAAGGACGGAATGGACAACGCAATGTCAGTTGAATCTCAACAAGCAATGTACACCCTGATACATACAAAATGGCACATAGTAGCATAGCGGAAGACTTTAAGATAAGTCCTGACCTGACCGGGACTGACATGACATCCCATCATACATCACACATGTGAGAGGAGGAGGGACCGCACACAAAGAAGAAAGGTCCCTCCTTGTACACACACATGGGGATGTACCACAGATGAGAGATGGGGAAGAGGAGAGACGACGCTGGAGGCGAGGGAGGGAAACCCAGATCGCAATAGCGAAGTCCAAAAATAGTCCCTTGCCGATGTCCAATCATTGTCTGCCTCAGAAATGTCGAATCAGATCCTGGGCGCAGTGCCCACTGTAACCTCTGCCTGTATCCTCCGCCTGTAACCTCTTTCACTCTCGTATCTGAAGAAGAAGAAGAAGAAGAAGAAGAAGAAGAAGAAAGAGGGAGAGAGAGAGAGAGAGAGAGAGAGAGAGAGAGAGAGAGAGAGAGAGAGAGAGAGAGACGGGATGGAGGGGAGATGAAGAGTTTGTCTCCCCCACTGTCTCACCTGCAGGAAAGCCATCGCACACTGACCGCCACGTGGTTGCTGTCTGGTGCAGGTCGCAGGCGGAGTCCCAGCTATGGCGCCAGGTAAGTCCGCCGTCTGCAGGCATGGTCTTCGCTCTCCTCCTACCTACACCACTACTCCTGATCCTCAGCGCAACGCTGGTCCAGCGCGTGTCGCTCAAGAAGCGAGCTACCCGAACTGTCCCTGGCCCAGCTGCTGCCCAACTATATGTAGCGCTGGGCGGCTGGACCTACCTGGTCCTGGCCTTAGAAACGGCCCAACTGGTCTGGGTCCCTACCGGACATCCAGACCATGCTGCTGATGCAGCAGGCGCAAAAAACGTGCCAGGCCTCGATCAGGCCCTATTCCTGTGCACCTGGCCCAAGGCGCTGCGTTGGTGCCTGAGGTCCGAAACAGTACCGGTACCGTTGAGTCAAGCGCCAAAACGCGCCTGGTTTCGGAAGGGCCTCGTGCCTCTGTACCTGGCCCAAGGCGTTGCCTTGGGGTCTGCAAGTCCAAAACGTCATCTGCACAGACGAGGGACAAGGCAACGGTAAGTAAATGAATAAATAAATAAATACTGCCGCCTTTAGGTGAAATCTGCGGCCAGGGGGCCGCCGTGGGCCTCCAGGGCGCATGTCTGATGGCATGCGCCCATCAGACATGCGCCCTGGGGCCCCTCAGCAACCGTCGGGCCCCTTGAAGTGGGCCCGTGTGCAGGCGCAGCATGTAACCCCCCCCCCTCCTTATGAAGTCAAGCCGGGTCGAGGGCGAAGCTGACGATATGAAGGTGGAACCTGGACGTAGGTGCGAAGTGGAGCCGAAGATACCGGCTTGCCTAGCATCTTGCGTTCGTAGCGTGTGAGGACATCCAGAGCTGTTGCTTGGAGTTCCGCACGGGTCAACCAACGGTCAGCTTTGTGGGTGCAGTACGCAAAGTGTACCAAGTATTCGGTCAGCCTGTTGCCATAGCGTCGCTGGGAGATGGTGTCGCCGACCTCTTGAAAACCGTCCATAGCGGGTGGGTCTTGGGATTGTCGCCCGGGAAAGTCGTCATGTTCTGCTGGCGTGTAAAAGGTCAACTTGGAGCAATGAAAGACGGGGTAGGCGGGAAAGTGGGCGGGCACCTGAATGATGAAGGAAGGTCCTTCGGGTGCATCCCCAGCGGGTGTCACGATCGGCCAGGGCCCCATCCATTTCGGGAGGGGCTTGCAAGAGATATCTTGTTCGAGGCTGAACTCCACAGCGGAAACCCAAACGAGATCGCCGACGCGGAATGGACAAGGAAGACGCTGGCGATTGGCCTGTTGGCTCATGTGTTACTGCGTCTTAGCCATCTGATCGCATGCCTTGACAAGAAGCTCTTGCATCCGACGCAAGACGAGAAGATGGGTGTTGCTCTCGGCCACTCGTGGAATAATTGTGTCCAACGGAGAAGTGACCGGCGAGCCGTGCTCGAACTCGAAGGGCGACATCCCCATAGCCGGGTGGATGGACGAGTTGTATGCCAACTCGACATCCGACAGCCGCTCAACCCAATCCTTTTGCTCGGGACGGATGAGAGTGCGAAGGAGAACCTGTGCGGTCTGATGCGCCCTCTTCGTTTGGCCATCGGTTTGGGGGTGGCGAGCCGAACTTGGCTTGAGAGATGAGCCCCATCGTTTGATGAGCGCCCACCAAAAATCGGACATGAACCGAGTGTCGCGGTCGCAGACGATTTCCTTGGGGTAACCCTTGGTTCGAATCCAACCGGCATAAAGAACCTCGGCCAACTCCGGTGCTTTGGCATGATAGAGGCAAGGCCAAAACATGGCGAACTTGGTGAGTCGGTCGACCACCGTAAGAATCCCATCCACACTGGTCTTGTGCTTGGGGAACGACCTGATAATGTCCATGGCAATCGCTTCTCGTCGGCGCCGCAAGGGGACCAGTAATGGTCGCAACTCACTGTACGGACGATGATTGCGGGATTTGCAGCGTCAACAAACCTCGCATGACTCACAATAGTGTGTGACGTCGTCGAGAAGGCCGGGCCACCAAAACCGCTCGCGAAGTCGGCCAATCGTTCGATTGACTCCAAAGTGTCAGGTGCAAGGAAGATGAGCAAGAGCGAACTTCAGCAATCAAACAACATCATACATATGAGTCTAGATAGTCGTGACCTCGAACCAACAGCAGAATTGCATCACGAGTTTTACCAAATAAGAACACACCAAGAGTTCATAATTGACAATGCTGAAATAGTCCCCTCATCATCATCAACGAAGAACCAGAGTTGATATCCTATCTGGCGCTCTGCGCCCAGACTACATGTGGCAGATCCTATCTAGCCTATACTACAATGCCGAAGTTGACGACAACAACTCTCCTGAAGTACTAGCATACAGCGACCAATGTCGCACGCTTCCAGCATCAGGTATGTCTCTCGCCTTACTCACAACCTCGTACCCCAACACACAGATGCCACTTGCATCCAAGGACCACCCTGCGTCACACCCAGCTCACAACAGAGCAGCTCGACTATGGCTGCCTTCTCCTTCCCTGCTCGCCCGTGAGCGCGTAGGCGTCAGCCAGCAAATAGCGCAGCAGCGCTTGCGCAGCATGCAGCCAGCCCCCGAATGCCGAATCCGGAGGCAGGCCCTTTGCTATATCGAAGTGGCCTGCCTGCGTCCAGTCCCAGGAAGCTTCCAGTAGGCCCCGGTAGCCTGAGGCCCAACACGAACAAGAACAGGCCTTGGGCCTGAAGTGGTTGCATGCGCCCAACTGCCTTTGGCGTGTGTTCGGCCCAGTACCCGTATCCAGCCCAGGGCCTGCTTTCCATACATTCACACAGGCGGCCCAGGGCCTGGGTTCTCTCAACCAATTGGCACTACGCAACTGCCTGAATTTCCTTGAGTTGTGTGGTGACCAAAACAGGGCCCTGAGGGCCTCGTCGAGCCTGCCTTCACTTAGGGCGGACGACTTGCTTCAGAATGGGGCAAAAAGGGGCTCATAGAGGCATTGGCCTCGCACTGGTGGCGGGAGCATCGTGGAACTCGCCAAGAAGCCGTGTACGCAAGTGAGAGTCACTCGGTACGCAAAGAAGGTCATTCCCCCGCGTGTGGACAAGCAAGTACCCCTCTTGGATCCGGTAGTGAGAAGGCGCCGGATTAGGAGAGGAGCAATTCGCGTACTTGTCGCGAAACTCGGGGTTGGCTTGGTAGCCGCAGATGAAGCTGTCCCGCAGGTCGTTGTCGATCTCGAAGGTCGAGTAGACTGCGGTACAATGATCCGAACGCCGTGAAAGAGCATCCGCAAAATGGTTTGACTTCCCCGGAATGTGATCGGGAAAGAAGTCAATTGGTCGATGAAGGCCATCCAACGGGCGATCGTGCTATTGACGGTGTCTTGGGTCTTGTAGAAGACTAACGAATTGTTGTCCATTACCGCTCGGAATTGACTTTGACCAAGGAGGAAGTGCCGCCACCTCTTGACCGCGTGGATGAAGGCTAGGAGTTCCTTCTTGCGTGCATCATCAATGGAGTGCACGATAGGCACTTTCTTGTTGAAGTACTCGACCGGGTGCCAGTCCACGCCATCGTGTTGTCCAATGCCATAGCCGGATGCATCCGTAGTAACACTCGTTGGCAATAGCGGGTCGTTTATGCACAAGACCTCCACAAATAATAGTGTGGCTTTGAGAGCCAAAAATGATTCCCGCGCATCCTCACCGAAGTGAAACGGCCGATCCTCGCATTGAAGCTTGGTCAAGTGAGCCGCGATCTTCAAGTATCCCTTGATAAAACGTTGGTAGTAGCCGGCAAGGCCAAGGAACGAACGGATATCCGTGACGTTCCGTGGTTCCGGCCACTCTTGGATGGCTTGAATCTTGTCCGACAATGGACTGATGCCCTCCGGTGTGACAAAATGGCCCAAGTATTCCAGCTCTTGCCGGACAAATTCGCACTTATTGCGGGTGGCTTTGTAATTGGCACGGCAGAGCGTCTCTAACACCCGTCAAAGGTGCTCGAGGTGTTCCTCCAATGTCCGGTTATAGACGAGAATGCCGTCTAAGTAGACCAACACGAACCGGTACAACATCGCACGAAACTCGTTGGTCATTGCCGCTTGAAAGGTCGTCGGGGCATTGGTGAGGCCAAAAGGCATGACCACCCACTCAAAGTGCCCATACCGCATCTTGAATGCGGATTTATAGCGATCGTTCGGCCGGATCGAAATCTGGTGATATCCCGACTTCAAATCCAACTTCGAGAAGTGCTTCGCGCCGCCCAATCACTCAAGACGATCGTCAATACGAGGAAGAGGCCCCACATTCTTAACAATTTGCACGTTGAGCTTGTGGTAGTCGATGCACAATCATAGATCCTTGTTCTTCTTACGTACAAAGAGAACTGGCGCTCCATATGGGGAGCTACTAGGGCGGATCCAGCCCTTGTCCAACAAGTCATCGAGTTGAGCGCGGAGGACCGTAAGCTCCTCCTCGCTCATGCGATAAATGCAACCTTTCAGCGGCACGTCACTGGCCTCAAGAATGATCTCATGAGCCGATCCGGCACCACACCGATAGGTGACTCGAAGATGTCGGCGAACTAGTCAAGCAAACGCACCACACGGGGGTTCGAAGACAAGTCCGTGGGGAAAGAGTCAACTACCGTGACGATCCGTAGGAAACATACGCCTATCTCGTCGGGCTGCTCGTAAGCGCAAGTAGCCCGGAACGATTTGGCCGTCACTACTTGGCACCGAATCGAAGGGTGCGGAAGAGGAATAGTACACGGCACTTCGGCGCCGAAGGCGTCCCGGACGGTGAGAGTCCGCCGGTGGAAGTTGACTGTGTGATCCGAACTTGCAAGCCAAGGCATGCCCAACATAATATCGAAGTCCGTTTCCAAAATGTCGAACGTGGCCGGTTCGCATGCTGCATGCATGAGGTGCGAAATAGACCGGGACGACCTCGACATAACGGTCAAGAAGTTGCTGCGTTTTTCCGTCCGCCAACTTTATCGCCGTTGGGTTTGCCTTCCTTCGAACTTGTGTGCCAAGGCCAGCCCTTTGCATAAAGGTTTGGCTTACGAAATTGCGAGACGTGCCGCTATCCAACAAAGTGCTACAGGATGCTTGCCCAACTTGGATGCGAACATAGAGGAGCGGTGCGTTGTTGTCATCGTACCGCTGCTTGCGAAACTCGCGGGCCACCTTGGTAACATACGCAAGGATGTCCCCCACTGCAGCTTCGTCATCCGTCGACAAAGTTGGTGGTGCATAGAAGGATCAGTACGTGCAGAGATTAGCGCATAGTGTTGCGCATTGCGGTCCCGGCAATCGGCCGTGGTCGGGAGAGGAAGCCATGCGAAATCCTCAGACGTGAGCGGGTCCAATACCTCTATGTCGAACTCGCGCGCCGAATACGTCGCCGCTTCCGGACAGAGAAGATGTCGCATACACGTCTTGTCCTTGAGCATGAGTACCCAGCATAGGAACGAGTCGGGCAGCATAGTCCTCATAAGAATATAGAAGAGGAGGACTATCGACTTCCGCATGTCCCTTGGAACGAAGGGCGGTCGTCCGCGAAGCAACCGGTTCCGAAGGCGTCGGGAGTGTTGTCGACTCACTTCCGACGGTGCTCAGTTTCCCGACTTGCCCTTGCCATGAGGCATCAAAGGGCAACCTAATATTGCGTGGAAATCGTTGTTGCACCACAAGCAATAGCGGAATTTCGTGCATAACCTGTATACGCTCTCCGAAAGACCATAGTGGGTCGAGGGATCTTGAGCTGCTGCCCTGGGATCGGGGAATGTGGTGTTTGTCTTCGATTTGCCGCGTCCTCGGCCTCTGCCAGGACGGCCACCATCCCGGGCGGCTGCGAGTCTGTCCCCTTTAAAGGTAGACACAACCTCGCTTGAGGGGTCGGTCGACGTTGCCGCCGTGACCACGGCTACATTCGGCCGATGTTGTTCCCTGCTCGGGCCTGTCGCAGGTGAGAGGTACTTGGCCTTCGTGTTCGTGACGATGATCTGCGCGACCTTGTCGAAGAGCTCCACTGTTGTAGTGAGCGTGTCTGCAACTTGAGTCAGCGTCATGGACAATGTCGGACACAACCTCGAGATGAAGTAGTGTTTCATAGCTTGAAAGCCCATTGGTACGCCCGGTACGGATGTCAAGCGTTGGAACTCGGCAATCCAATCTCCACTTGGCAGCGTGTTTTGGTGGAACTTGATAAGCTTGTCCATGGCTTTCATTTTCGGCGGCTCGATCTGGAACCGCTTATGCCATGCTGCCTTCAGATCCGCCCAGCTGATCTTGGTATGCAAGTCAGTTGCCACCACACCGTATTTCGACAAGAGGTTGTCCAACCATGCTTGGCACGCGCCCCCTGACCGGGAGTACAAGTACGCGTGGTGCTTTGCGTCGGGGACGTGGTGGAGCTGCAACTTGAGCTCGAACTGGCGGAACCAAGGAATCAGGTTCGTCTTTGTTGCGTCGCGAAAGATCTCCTGACTGTCGAACTTCGGAGTCGACTCGCGTTGTGACATGCTCGGGTGAGTGGAGGCAGTGCAGATCCGCTGCTCAAGTTGTTGAGTCGCGGTTTGCTGTAGCTGCATGCCGTCCTTGAGTACGCCGACGTCGACTTCCAATGCGTTGAGTCGGTCGGAGGTGCTGGGAACGGGGGCGGCGACGGTCGTTGCTCCAGCTGCTGAAGGCGGCTGTTGACTCGATCCAACGTCCGTTGCTGGTTCTTTACCGTGTCGTCGAGGCTATGGATGTCCTCCTGCTGTGCAATGCACGTTGCCAGGAGAGTCGTGAGGTGGGAGAGCAACAGCGAGATGCGTGGTCCGCTGTCGCTTAATTCGCCACCTTCGGCCTCGGGCCGCCATGCCGCTGCCATAGTGAGCAAGGCTCACTCCTCGCTGAACACCTTCTCGTGTCGCTGATTGTATTCTTCATCAGCAGCCTTTGCTGCTGCCTCGTCGTGCTGGCGTTGCTGTTCGATCGCCAACAGGAGTGCCTTTTTGGCGTCCTCCGCCTTCTTCTTCTTTGCGGCTGCTGCTGCATCCGCCCGTTGCTTGGCTTCGGTAATCAAAGCCAGCATCCAGGCCTGATAGGCTGCGGCCGTTTCTCCGGACTTCTGGTCCATGCCAGCTGTTTGCGAGCGCGTGAGCATAGGCCAGGCCGGGGGACTGCTAACGCGGCACCCCCTGCTGCTGATGTGGCACTGCTCGGCTGCTGTCGTGGCCCGCTGACGTGGCCTGCTGCTGATGTGTCACTGCTGACGTGTCACTGCTGATGTGTCACTGCTGACGTGTCACTGCTGATGTGGCCTGCTGACGTGTCGCTGCTGATGTGTCACTGCCGACGTGGCCCGCTGACGTGGTCTGCTGACGTGGCAACTTACCAATGCCGCAGTAGGGGTACCCGGAAATCAGATGAAAAAGAAGAGTAGACCAGAGGGGCAGCACATAGGTGGGGAGGACTGGGTGGGATAAATCGCCCAGATAAGGAGCCACTAATCAAAAAAAGAAAAGTTTGAACTTTTGAAAAAATTTCCGAGAAATTAATAATAATAATAAAAATAAAATCTCGAGTTTGCAAGTTCAGTAGGTCTCCCAATCTCCCTCACTTTCGAAATTACCAATAATAAAAAAAATCAAATTTTCAGGCTGCAATGATGAACACAGAATAATAATGAAATTAATGAATAACGAATAATAGAACTGCGAATTTTTTTTTTGCAATTGAGGGAATTTCGGAAGTAAACAAAATTTCTGGATTTATTCAGATGAGAGTATGCGCAGTTAAAACGTGACTGCAAAAGAGGGATTTCCCTTAACATTTTGAATTCGAAATGTCGAATTTTGGAAATTCACAAAAAAAAATTCTCGGAATTTTCGAAATAGCGGGAAATTGCAGAGGGAAACAGAAATTTTTCGTAAAATAGTCCGGATTTCTCAACAGCGAAATTTCGAATTGCAAATGAAAACCGAAATCGAACGTCTTCGATGCTGCGCTATTTCGTGATTTTCACAAATGACAATAGCGCTGAGAAAATGAAACCTAAAAGAAGAAAAAAAATGATTTTGGAAGTGAGGTAAAAATTCGCGATTTTGGGGACTAATTAGACATAATTAACTAATCAATCAATCAATCAATCAATCAATCAATCAATTGCTAATTAACAGTCCCCCCACACGTGTCAGATCAGGTTGTCCTGATTCACATGTGGGGCCCCGATACCAACTGATACATGCCCAGTTGGGCAATGTATGTAGAGCCAAGGATCCGCAATGTGATGAAAAGGACTGAATGGACAATGAAATGTCAGTTGTACACCCTGATACATACAAAACGGCACATAGTAGCATAGCGGAAGACTTTAAGAGAAGTCCTGACCTGACCGGGACTGACATGACATCCCATCATACATCACACATGTGAGAGGAGGGACGGCACACAAAGAAGAAAGGTCCCTCCATGTACACACACATGGGGAGGTACCACATATGAGAGATGCGGAAGAGGAGAGATGGAGCTGGAGGCAAGGGAGGGAAACCCAGATCGCAATAGCGAAGTCCAAAAATAGTCCCTTGCCGATGTCCAATCAATGTCTGCCTCAGAAATGTCGAATCAAATCCTAGGCGCAGTGCCCACTGTAACCTCTGCCAGTATCCTCCGCCTGTAACCTCTTTCACTCTTGTATCTGAAGAAGAAGAAGAAGAAAAAGAAGAAGAAGAAGAAGAGAGAGAGAGAGAGAGAGAGAGAGAGAGAGAGAGAGAGAGAGAGAGAGAGAGAGAGAGAGAGAGAGAGAGAGAGA